AAGACCGCCTTAGAAGTACTCTGACTGCCCCCACAAACCTACTAAATGTCCTCTTCTATTTCGGAATCTGGAGGCTTCTGTAACCAGACTCGCGTCACTGCTATATTTTCTGGACAATTTGTGACAATCAAAGATTAATCGGAAATGGGGCAAGCAGCATATCAAAGCTTGGAGGAAAACCAACAAACTGAAATTACCCCGATGGCAGGGAGCTGTTCCTTGTGGGCTTTTCATCCACCTTGAAGATCTGACGAACCTTCTTGGACAATACCACCACATCGTTTTCACCCCGTGGATTTTCATCTCCTGCAAGGTTAGTAGGTCTTGGAATCCTCCCAGAAATTTTTGCTGCCGTTATCGCCAAGGACGCGGGATCCTGCCGTCCCTGCACATTTCGTCTTTTCTTTTCTTTTTCTAAGGTCTCCGAGCACAGACTTGTAGAACGGCCTACTCTACTACTCGCTTTCATTGAAATACTTTCGCCTCCAGCAGACGGAGAAGTCCAGCTGGCTCGGGGAGTCACAGGAGATGATGTTGTGCTAGTCGACGTCGATAAAATTCTGCTTCCAACATTGGCACTCTTTGCCACTCTGAATCTACTTAATGTACCTCCTGTACTACTTCCGCTTCCTCGGTATCTTACTGACGGTGCTTCAACAACAATCTTCTTGGCAATGTGTTTTCCGCGTCGCGCAATGCACTGAGGAGTCCTAAATCCAGCCCCATTCATCTGATGACTAGTGTTGAAATCATCGTTACTGAAGGACTGAGAGGAGGTTGAAGAGTCCTGAGACATTATTCCGCTGTCTCTAGACGACGAGGAACTTGAAGGTGTTTTAGGAACTTCTTCGGAGGTAAAGGTCTGCTTTGCTAGATACTTCGCGTGTCTTTGAGTCATCGGGGTTGCAATACAGGATAATGTGGTCGTAGGAATTGTGGTTGTAGGATAAGGAAGTGCCATAGAAGCGTGCTGCTGGGTTTGTTGAGGATTTTGAGTTCTTCCGACAAACCGTGGAAAAGGTCCACTCGGGCAGCATGGAGAATTCGGAACTGAATTTTGACGAATCATTTGAGGCGATTGAATTCGACAAAAAGGATAACGGAGAGCCGAAACCTGTGGCTGTACTATGCCTGTTGGAAGAGTCATTGAGGAGAAGCGTTGATTTGCAGACGGTTCCACCAATGCTTTGCGCGTTTGACGGCTGCATGAAGGTTGCTGAAGTACTGTAGCAACTTTAGCTGGCTTTTTCAAGGTGGAAAATTTCGTGGCATCTTGAGGTGGAGCGACTTTTGATAACATGATGTCCTTCTGATGATGAAAAGTAGACGATTTAGTCATGTCTCTAATCGGTCTAGATAACAAGCTACTTTGATCTGGTAAATCAGAGTACTTAAAAGTATCTTGCTTGTGTGTAAATACCGGGTTAACGTATCATGTATCACTACCGTGATTGAGCTAATTATGGAATGTAATTTACCTTGTGTTAGGAAGGAATCTCTTTTTCCTTCGAATAAGTTCACATCAAAGAAGGAGTTGAGTTGCACTTGGTTTGGAGTTAAATTCTATTTATTTGCTCCTCACTTTGTTGTAATCGATTCATTTCCTGCTCTGCCACAAATGTACAAAGAAGTCTGTTTTCTTCTGAAATGTGTTGGTATTTCAGAAACAACCTGGAACAGTTCAGATCCCCTAAATGGTTGGGAAGTAGTTTGGAAGGCCAATCGATTGGACGGTCTTTCACATTCAGCATGCTATGCGGGAATGTTGTCACATGCAGTAGGGGCAACAAAAGTGAAAGGACTACTTTTTCGGCAACTCTTAACAAAGTAGGTTTTCCAATCATCAACATCTGCATACAACCATCCATTCTGCAATGGAATCACTTTAACGTATATTTTCATAGGGATTGGACACCGTTCCCCATAGTAACAGTCCAGTAACCCGATCTTTTGTTCAACACAGTGCTCAATCTCACAACCACTTC